TTCAATTCTCCCATTTGAGGGGCCTTCATCACCCCCCGTCATAGTTTGGTAAAGGCCAAATCGCCGGCAGAAGGACTGGAACACCTTGGAGAAGAAAGCACACTCTCTGTCGGTGTGGACACGGAGGATCTTCAGGCCCATCGCTTTGAAGCGGCAGTACATCCTTGTGGCCACCTTTGTGACATCATGTTGACCTCTCGACTCCAGGGGCTCCACCAGTGTGATATTTTGAACTCCCACAGGCGCAGCCAGATCATCAATGTGCTTTCTCCAGCCTTCATTGAGAGCGACTGCATCCTCCTCCGCAACCCGGACCTCATCTTCGACTTCATCAAGCTGAGGCAGAACCTGTTCGCCAACTTCTTGATTGGCGGGATCTCCATCGCCTCCTTGATCGGCAAGACCTTGTTCACCATCTTCTCGATCGTCAGGGCGGTCTTCATCATCTTCTTGCGGATGATCTCCATCTCCCCCCAAACCACGAGGCAGCTTTGGAATGGCCACCGTTGCCACCATGATGTACTTCGCCTTTGTGCTCAAGCCCACATCATCTCCCAGTGGCATTGGCCCCAAAATGTCATAGGACAGGCAGTAAGCTGATCGATCTCCTGATGTCCTCCGGTGCGGTGCATCCACGCCCATCAGCTCCATGCATCGCCGACAATCCCTCCTGTAGGGTTGGTGTTGATTTCGAACATGGGTTTTCCAACTTTCCATGCTCATTCGCTTCACTCCAGGTTCGCCGTGGTGCACAATCTCCTCCGCATTCCACCTGCGCCTGTAGTCCAGGAGGAAGTTCTTCAAGCACTCCTTCACCGCTGCCACCAAGCCCGGTGCCCAGGACGACCACTCCCTCGATTGAGCCAGTCTCCCAGTGAGCGATGTTGCTTCAACTTCTCCTCTACCTTCTCCGGACACGCCATCTAACTCCCTCATCTGTGGGAGGTTGGCGACCATCAAACATGTTGGTTTTCTCTTGACGTGGCCCATAGGCCCTTGATCCATGGTCAGCAAGGATGCGCCCATCAGCTCTCTGGCCTTCTTCACTTCCTCAAAGTTCCAGAAACTCGGCATGTCCTCCTTGGTGGCCTCAGTTGACATGTAATCCATGGGGTCTCTTGGTGACTCCATCAGGAATCCAGGTGCTGGTCGTCCTCCACGATGCTCATCAGCGAGGAGCCACAGACCAATCTGTTTCATCATCAACGCACAATCGCTGAGGGCAAGCTCCTGCTCTGGCGAAGAAAGTCCCTCCAGCATGAATCTGCGGTCATCTCGACCTCTCAAAGGGCGTGGACCCGGAGCTCGGTGCCTCAACCGTGACACCGTGCGGCATGGCGGCCCTCCCAACACAGCAACGACCAAGCCTCGTCGAGCTAGATGACATAGGTAACCCCAAGTTCCAATGCCATGGAGGTCGAACTGTGCGCCCATCGTCACGTCCACATTCAAAATCTCGAAGCCACCCCAGTCCGTCTTAGACCAACTCTTATAGTCCTTCCCGGCAAAGAGGTTGACAATCACACCACGAGACGCCAGGTGTCGTCGCCGCTGACGTCGATTCCAGGGGCAAGTGCAAGCATCAAAGCTGTCCTGGCCCTTCATGAACTCCCACACCTCCGCAGGGACCTCAGGGAATCTTGATGACCACCATGATCGTACTTCATCATCAGTGAAGATCTCCCCCCCGATCTGCCTTCTCCATGGTGCTGAGCAACTCCAGCGCCTTGGCCTCAGGTAGAACCGGACATCCCCCACGAAGCGTGCAGTCAATCCTGCCATGATCAGGGTGATTGATCTTCACTCCAGCCGCCGTCCACTGAAGCCGATACCCCAAGCCCACCAGTCGATGGAGGGGGACAATGACCTCCACGTGGTCCTTGGACAGCAAGGTCTTGTGGTCATCCACCCTGAACAACGTCGTTGACCCTGAGGCCAACTCCACCCTCACCGGGTACATCCTTTCCAGCTCCTGCTCATGTGCTCGACGAAGACCATTGGTCGCCCCTCCATCCAGCAATCCAACAGGTGCCAAACCATCAGTGCCAACCGGCTTCAATTCCTTCACACGAAGCACCTTCATGCTCCGAAGTGTCTTGAGCAAAGACGTTGCCTCCGACAGCAACTCTGCCGTAGTTTCCCGACCCAGTGGCTTCTCAGGTGTTCCTGCCATTCTCGAAGTGGTCGTGGTAGGAGGCGGCGATGACCCCGGAGACGGCTCTTCACTTATGGGCTGCTCCTTGGCGATCTTCTCGACGATCTCCCCCTTCTCTCCTTCCTTCGTGGCCTTCACCTTTGAGACCTTCTTTGGATCAGTCTTTCCAGTCTTGGGTTGGTGAGGACATTCACGCTTCATGTGGTTCCCACCGCAACCAAAGCACCGGTTCTTCATATCCGAGGTGTCGTGGGCATAGGTGCAAGATGTTCCCCTCCTGCAGCCTTCCTCCGACTTCCAGAACTTGCAAGCAAGCCTTCCTCCTGCTCGCTCCTCATTCTCAGCCGCTCCAAACGACGATGCCATGGCCTTCAGTGACGTCGAGACCGCTTGATTGGACGAGGCCGCCGGCTGAGCCAGTGGTGCACCACCCTTCTGAGCTGCAGTGAGGGACATTTCTTCGATCTCCGCCTGCACATACTCAGCTAGCTCAGTGACTCCTTCCAATGAAGCTGCATAGTCAACTCGGAGTTCTTGACGAACATTTGAAATCCTGAATGACACCTGAGTGCCGCCTGCTTTTTGGGTGCTGTCGATCATGCGCTGCAGGGCGTGCATGAGGACCAGAGGGTCCGGAAGGTTGAGGTGAAGTTCTTGAGCACGAGATAGCCAACGTCGCCACAACCGGACCTGCATCAACAATTCTCCCACCGATGTGGAGAACTTCGACTCCACTAAATTCTTGAGGAGTTGCGTTTTTTCAGCGCCGCCTCCTGGCTGGTACGCCACATGGAGCCGGTACAGGATGTGCACCACGGACAGCTGCCTGCCAGACACCAAGTCCCGACGAAGCTGATCAGGTAGTGCTCCAAGTAGCATGGCAATTCCACGCTGTTCAATCCGTTGAAATGCTGGGTCCACTTCAACTTGAGGTTTCGATCTCAGCCTCTCCAGCGGACTCAGTCGCAGCCACCGGGAGTAGTGCTCCTGCGCCACCATCAAGGACTCTTCCCACCAGGCCTTGGCCGAGTTGGAGATGTCAGCCATCAGCGGGAATGCCATAGTCAGCCAGTCGCCGAAGAGAATCGAAGCTCCTTCTCCATTGGGTGCTGGAAGTGAGGGAAGCTCCAAATTTCGCAGAGCCTCGGTCGTCGATGCCACGGGAATTCCAGCCCCAATTCTGGTCACCTTTCCTGCTCCACCACCAAACCCTGATGACAATGTCCCGGTTGTGGTCTCATGTAATCCAGGGGGTCGATCAGGTAGTGACTCACCAACACCATCACCAGAGTTCCCACCTTGACCATCAGTGGAACCACGAAGTTTCGCCCGCTCGCCCACACTATTCGCGGATTCAAACGTCGACGAACCTCCACCACCTGTCAGCTTCTTGACCTCCTTCTCAAAGTTCAAGTGGGCTTCGCGAAGGATGCGCTCCCGGATGGCTTCCAGCTCCTGAGACGTCGGGCTTCTCTTCACCTCTTCACTAGGGGGTCGAGGACGTTCAGAACGGGATGCCACATCAGGTGCACGTCCACGGTCACTCCAAAAAGGATTGGTCTGCTGCCGCCCATGTTGATGGGGTGTGGACATGTCGTAGGGCTCAAGTACTCTATGTTGTGGACCACCTTCACCATTCATGCTGCTCCTGTCCGCTCTCGGCGGAATCGGAAACTGAGGCGATGACGCTGCCTCCCGCTGCCAAGCCCCTTGCCCTCCAGGTTGTCCCGGATCATCAGCGCGAGGGTGTCCTGGATCGCGGCCATGAAATAGAGGTCCAAGTAGTCCTTCAGGAGGCGGAGGTCCCACCGGCATCGGTCCTTGGGAAGTTGATCCAAAGGCCCTTTGCAACACCTCGAGGGATTGCCTCACCGTCTCCTGCCAGCCAGCTCCTCGGTCATGCCGTTCAGATGCTGGACCTTGTTGTCTTCCATCAGCTCCGCTTGCCGCCGTCGAAGATCTTCTCGCCTCGCCAGCCGCTGGAGCCCCTCCAACTCTCTTCACAGCAGGTGGCATTGAGGTTGCCCTTGCCTCCTCGAGGAGGGTGTCTAGCCTCTCGTCAGCTGCTCCCACACGTAGTTGCCCTCCTCGATCTCCTGGATCCCTCAGCCTGCCTCCTTCGCGGGAGGAGCGCCGCCGCCGCGCCATCAAGCCGCTCATGGGGACCAGCGACCTCAAATGAGGGTGGACTTCAAAAGCTCTTTGGGCTCATAACCTGTGGTTATGGAAAAAGCCTCAAGAGCGACCGACAAAAAACAGCCGCTCACGTTGTTCCTTGAGCCAAACGCAGGTCGTATTGACCGGTTCACCTTTCTCAGGTGTTCATGACCTTCATGAAAAGGTATGCTTTGGGTCGTGCGTTTTTCCATTCACAAATTCAAATGGCAATACAGTAATTGTTTACACTCCCTGGAACTAACATGGAAGTGGAGAATGGCCCCTTGGAAGACCATTTTCCACTACAAGCAGGTGGTTTTCCACTTCGATGTTAGTTTTCGGGAGTGTATGTTATCTTATGTTCAAAAATTTAAGAGAGAGTGTTTGTTTGGATACTCCCACATGAGAGAGACATTTGCATCGATTTGGCTCAGGGCCACCCAATAAGTCTCATGCTCCTGGATGTCAATCCTCCGAGAAGGTGAGGCTCTTCCTGCAGATCACTAAGATGGAAGTGGATTGAAGTAATTCTGTTCAATTCAGGAACGTCGTCGTCCCTTTTTTGGGGAGAAATAACACACTTCCAATGTGAAACATCAGAGTCGACTCGATGTCTCACCGCTCCCCAGCCGCGTTGGGTGGGAGAAGGAGGCCGTCGCCGCGCGCTCCGCGCCGCTCGGGTCTCAAGGCTTCATACGCGGGATGCGGAGCAGTCCCTCCTGGACGCCGCAGATGCAGCCAGGTGTGCCGAGACATCGGGGGGGGTCCGGTAGAGGTAGGCAGTAGCAAGGTAGCTAGCAGTAGCTAGCTATATGGCGGTTGGGGCCTGAAAGAGGAGTCTTCCAGGGGTCCATTTTCACCGTCGTCAGTTTGCAGGAAGTATGTCTTGGTCAGTTTGCTGGGGCGTTTCTCGGAATCAGAGTGCCCAGGGTGCACAGTTTCTCCTTTCTCTAAATGATTTGGCTTGGCTTTGAGCAAAGGGCCGGTGGTTTGAGAGCTGGTTGCTGCTTTACATCCAAATAGGGGCAACTGATCAATTTTTGTAACTCCACTGGTTTCCTGCAACTATCCAGGCAGCGGTCAACAATCCAAAGGGCCCAGTCCATGCAGGACTGACGTCAAATGCAGTGATGGAAGGGAATTTGGCTTGCTTCTTGCTTGGGTTTAGGGCTGGTTAGAGATTCCCCATCATGACTCATGACACTGGGAATACCTGCATCACTGATTACCTATCTCACAATCACCAGCAAAAGAAAAACTCTTCATGGTTCCTTGAACATGTTTGAATGTGTGATCTCTAGTTTATTAGGAGCATTGCGGGCATCTCCAGCTAAGACCTCTTGGTCTTTGATCCGGAACCTTGAAGTCCTTGCCGATGGCTGCAGCTGCACCCTGTGTACCTTCTCCGGCGAGGAAGTTCAAACTGAGGGTGTATGTTACCAAACAACGTCGAAAGATTGCTTGAACAGGGGAATGTCCATGTGTGACATTAAAAACACAATTCTGTAGCCGCTGATGGGGATCGATCACACCAAACGTCTCATGTCCTTTAGGACACAACTCTTTTTATCAGTCCCTCACGAAAGTGAAGGGTCAAAATGGGGTCAACACTCTGCCACTAGGGTTGGTGAGGTCAAGCGACAAGCGAACATTCCTCAAGTGATGTCTTCAATTCCCCTGCCACTGGTGAATTAACACCTAAAAGTTGTGTTGTGATTGTTTTTAATTCACAGGGGATTGGATGATATGGATTGTCAGCACCTGGATTTGTGTTGCGTTGCGTTTTGACCATCCCTCATCATGTGAGGACAAAGCTTTGCTTGAAGACGCCTATCAGATCCAGGAGGAGTCGCGGATGGAAGAAGAAAATGCACAAGGCACTGTGGCATTGGGGCCGGGAAACCCTTTGCCCACCTTTCCTTTTCGGACGCCAATGAACTTCCCGGATCTGACGATGCGATCGTCCCATCGATCACAGAATGGTGATTATAGGCACCATGACTGCCACAGTAATTAGACCCCATCCTGGGTTGAAGGCCATCGCTACTAGGGTGAAGGCCATTGCTACTAGGGTGGAGGCCATCGCTACTAGGGTGGAGGCCATCGCTACTAGGGTGGAGGCCATCGCTCTTAGTTTGGAGGCCATCACTCTTAGGTTGCAGGCCATGGGTTGGATTCTTGTCCGTCCCCCAAGTCCTACCCAGTGGGCACGGAGCCGATTTCAGCGCATGGAGCGGCAACACCAGGCATGGCGGCCTCCTTTGCCGCGACGTTGCAACAGTTCAGCGGTCAGAGGGAAGGCGGGACGTGGCCGTACCGTGGCATGGGGGGAAGATGGACAGAGAAGAAGAGAGGATTCATCCATGAGGCCACCTGCAGGACCGAACAACATCAGGAAGATGATTCATCCATTCTGCATGTGTTGCCCCTGGAAGATACTCTCCAAGAATCTGGCAGCATGTTCTTTTTTGACACTCCTTTTCTTCGGGCCGCGGCTGACGCTGCGACAACGGCACCAGGATCTTCTGATAGTAGGTCATTAATCAGAGGTGGGTGGCCTTGATGGCGGACCTTGTCAAAGGAGGAGCTGAGAGCCCAAGCTGCGCCAAGCAGCTGCTTTTCGATCAGCGTCCTCTCAAAAGCCTTGGACTCCTGTCGTTCAGCCAACGGATGTCCGGAGCTCAATCGAAAAAAAGCCTCTCGCTGCAGTCAGAATAGATACAGAGAGGTGGCAGAAGAGCTGAAAACCACGGGGGTGTAATTTGCAAAGTGGTCTTCTGGTTGAAGCCCTTCTTCAGGGTCCATGTTGGTTTGGGGTACTCATGCACGGCTTTGTTTCACGATCACGAGGCTTGTCTGGTAGTGTGAGGGCAAGTTGCAAAGCTCTTATGGGTCGACGGATCGTTTTAAGAGCCACAAGAGGCTGTCATCCAGGATCAGTTCACCTGATGAACTGATGAACTGACACCGTTGCAGACGAATCCCTGTCTGGTGTGGCGAGACGGGTTGCAGTCTGCGCTTGCGCAGGTCAGGCAACCACCTGGGTCACGACACCCGACACCGGTTTATGTCTGCCCGTTCGCCCTCGAAGAGCCCTTGAAGAGCCCTTGAAGAGGGCGCCGTACATCTCGTCTCGGAAGCCCCGGTGTTCAAGCCGCTCGGTCCACTCCTTGAGACCCGACGCTGTCGAAGTCAGCACCATGTGATCACTCGGAGCAAGCAATCGAAGATTTGCATGTATCATGTATCTGCCATCCTCATGTATTTTTTCCACCACAGAATGGGGAGTCCTAAGATCCTTATTATAGGATCAACATCGACAACGGCGCCTTTTTTTCCCCTCAGTTTCATGATTTCTACTTTCAGATCTGATCTCCCTGAATCTCACTCTTGCTTTGCTTCAGATGCCTGCAGGTGCCAACAGTTGCACTGGCCTCACCTGTGGAGGCACCTGCATGCACCCGCCTGCGCGCCCGCGAGACCGACCGAGCGACGCAGCGCAGGGCTGGCCGGGCTGGCTTTGGTTACTTCGGTTTGGTTAGATGTGTCGTGGCTCGGCGCTTTGACCATTCGTGAGATGTGTCGTTGCTCTTGAGTCGTTTGGGTCGAAAACGGCCGAACGGTTCCCGAACGGTTCCCAGACGGTCGAAACGGGCCGGTGATCCTGCTTCGACCGGAGCCGGTCGAAGACCGGCCCCAGACAAAGCAGGGCTGGGGTTGTTGAGAGGATGGAGATAGGCCCCATGGGCAAAGGCAGATGTGAGCTCATGTATGAGAGATGTATTAAAACAAAACACATCACTGGGAGACTGTGTGAGTCAGAATGGAGGAGCCTACAGGGACCCTGAAGATTCCAACAGATCCAGTACCAAATCTACTAAACAGCGAATGGTCTAGATCGGGTGAAATCAGACGAGAATTAGTGCCCCGTGGCTCTATCCAAAACTTGGTGTGCTAACCCAGTACCGACAGATACCGGATACCAACACCATCCACTAGTTGGATGAGTACCAAACACCCAATCCGGCTAGCTGAGGGAATAAAAGTTCTTCTCGTGTTGGAGAGCTTGGGAGATCGATTTTTTGACAAATCTTTGCAGCTTCCCAGCACCCCGTTTGAAGATGGCTTGTCCACCGTCAAAATGGAACTGCTCCTAAGCGCAGTATTCACGGGTTATGGGCACCTGCCAAAGTAAAGCAAAAAAGGGCAAAGCAATCCAAACCCAGTTGAAACCTGAGTTTAGTGGTCAAACATTGTGGTTCTGTTTACCGTTTGCTTACTTATATGCAGTTCACCCAGTCCAGCATGACAAGGTACCCGTACATGGCAGAAAGCCAAGTGGAGAAGAACCACTCGCCCGAGGTGCCGGACGTGGCGACGCGGGTCGTGCAGGCAACGGGTATTGCGATGAAAGCCAAGAAGGAGCCCGCTGTCGCTGCAAGGCCGGATGCGACGTAGGTGGAGGCCATCGCAAGTAGGTTGAAGGCCATCGCTTAAAGGGCAGAAAAAAGGGCCCAAAGGCCCATGAAGGACGCCGGCGCTTGTCGTGCGGGGGGCATGGGAAATGAAACAGATGGCGTACTCACTCGTTCACTCATCTTGTCACTCTCTCGCTCTCCTTCCTACCACACTGGTGCATTAGAAGACTGCGCATCAAGAACTTGAGGGTGCTGCTTTTGCAAATTCAAACATGCATGCAGCCCAACTGCTGACCTCAGGCTGGCTACGAGGGTGTAGCTGCCTCAGCAGTGTCCAGCCATGTCAGGGCCATGCCTAGTCTACGGACCGCTGCCCAGTCAAAACAGATTGTTGCCCCGCTCAGGAGGATGGCCGCCATAGGTGTTGTCTATGGATTTTTATTTGTTGCATACGTTGTAAACCTTTAGGCTGATCGGGGTTCTGATACTTTCTTCAATTGGTGTTTTTTTTGCCTCAACCTGAATCGGGAGAGGCGAGAAGCACACGTTGCATGCTTTTACCTCGAACTACTTAGTTTTCCAAGAACTCTACAGTACGTGTTCCAATGCAAGTTCCGTGAATCATGATACTGCCACTGCACTGTAACCATGGCTTCAGTAACGGAGGTACCCCGCTAGCTTGAACAGAATGATGAGCGTCATGCACTCTAAATGACACTCTCCCTTTGTTTGAGCGTCATTTAGCAACAACAGATCGAAAAACGCAAGAAGTAAGAAGTTAAGATTCAAGATGAACTGAAAAGCATTAAACCGAACACATGAGGCGTGTGCACACTAAAGTGCAACAACGAAGCTGTGTTTTTAGAGGTCAAGTGCTTATACTCTCCTGGGTTGCTACATTGGAGGCTTTCGTTTCGCAAGGCCAATATTGGTGCTTGACTCTAAGTTACCCTGAGTGACTTCGCTTCAAACGTCACGCAGCACTGGATGCCGGAAGCAAAGCACTGGCATAGCATGCGGACCGGTTGTCATTACCCCCACCCCACTCCAAACTGATTTTTTCAATGTTCAATGCTCTCCCTGAAGGAAACCTTAAAAGCACTGCAAATACCACGAAAGCGCAACAAAAACGCGCGAAACACCACAGCTGTCTACGCACGGTGGTCCAACAGATTTCTATATTTGCATGTTCAAAGCTTTGTCGATCATACTCAAGCAGATGACTTCCGCTGATTGCAGACGGTGGTAGAGACTGACTAGAGAGACATGGAAACTTTGTTGAGTTGCAGATACTTTGGGTGCAGCTGTGTCCGTGACATCTATTCGCACAATGGGAGCATAGGGGATATCACACAGCACGTCAAGTGCTAGTTCAAGTCCATTCTTTCAGTTCTTTCCAACTCGCCTTCTTAGCGACGAGCGTGTCTGGATCCCTTTGCGAACCTTTGGGTCATGGGAACCTTTGGTTTCACCCTCCGCAAACCAACGAAACCTGTTGAAATATGAAGCCCTGATCGGCCGGACCTGACCTGTCCGGACCTGCTCGGAGTCCCGACCTAACTGGACCCTGACCCGTACGTCCGTACCCACCGAGACGGGGCTCGTGTGCAACCCGGCGAGTGCCTTCGTGGAGCGGCCGCTGATCTCCGGGTCGCCGGGCACCAAACAGCCCGAGGCAGCGAGGAAGGTGTTTGGGAGTGAGCAGCCCTAGGAGATAGCGAGGTAGTGAGGATGCAAACATATGCAAATAGCAATGTGTGCCATTATGTGCCATTATTATGTGCAATGTGCTTGTGCACACTCCGAGAAACCGTGGCAATCATGCGCAGGTGGCTGACCTGTATGTCACCAGCCTGCGTGGTTGGCCCCAGTTTTCAGCACACTCCAAGAGAAAATCTTGAATCTTTGAACGCGCACCATCCAATGCATTGTTCGCACCTTCTCTAAACTATATATAATAAGCGTAATAAGGAGATATCGACCCTCCAAAGGCGTTTCCCGTTTGATCTTGTTCGTCTCGGTCGACCGCTTGTTCGCGAGGTGACAACGGCGTAGCTGTGGTCTTCCGTGACATCTCAAGGCTGATGGGAATTGCCATGTGGACTTAGGAGTTCGTTCTTCGGCCGCTGGACTTAGGGGGATTCACCTGCAGTTTTAGAACCAGCCCAGGGAAGGACACTTCGAAAGCCTCTGAAAAGGAATAACTCGACCGGCGGGTCGCCCAATCGGCGCGCTTTGCGCCGTCCTTGAAAAGTCGCACTGTCGGCACAGGGCCGTCGTGGACGCGAGGTGGACTAGGCAGCTCCAGGGTCGGGTCTTAGAGAGGTTCTTTCTCAGACACTCGAAGTGCTACTTACATGGATGGGTCTTTTTGAGATTTTTTCGTATTTTTTCATTTTTTCATGGATGGAAGATGGGTCTTACATGGACGGGTCTTGACATTACATTGTTATTTACATTGCTTCATGGATGGGTAATGAGCTATTCCAGTCCCATCGAGTCTCTCCGGCGGCGGTTTTTCCCTGGACCCGTCTGACATCGCCACGGCGGGGGCGGTCCGACGGTCGCGCGGTCGCACGATGGAAGTGTCACCGTGTCTGGCGGTCGACATCGCCAGTGATCCATTCTCGATCATCGTTTTCTTGTTTCTACTAGCTTCTTGTTACTAGTAGTAAGGCCCTTGCTCCTAGTAGCGATGCCAGGAGCCCCTAGTAGCGTCCTTGTTCCTATCCGACTTATATAACTTGACTCAACTTGACTCTTCGGCGGATCATACAGGATCCATTTGGGGTGCAACATGATCCTCTCGCAGTCAGAACAACAGGGCCTGGAAAACCGCTGGTAGAGTCATGTCCTTTTGATCCCGTCTGTGAGTGGTAGAGTCATACTAGCCGCTGCTAGCCATTTCCATCATTTCACAATGGAGGAGGACATTCAGAAGTGGTTGACATATTTTGAAGGTTTTTTTGACGAAGGAAGGGCGCACAGACATCGTGTTTTTTTTCTTATTTTTCTGTGTGTGTTTCACTGTTTGCTGTAGATGCCTGCTGTGCACATTGCCAATTGTCATGTGCTTGGGAGGCAGAACAGTGGCTTTTTGGTGATAGGCCTTGCACAGGACAGTGGCATGCGCAGGGGTGCCTGTGCAGCTCTCTTCCTCTTTGAAGAGTCACCTTGTGCTGCAGCACCAGTGGCAGCTGAGCCTGGTGGTCCAACGCGAGTGTTTTTCAAGATTTACTGTATAGGAGCGGAACAGTAGCCCCAAGATACTTCGTTGGAAGGATGACTGAAGATGACGTTATTTCCGAAGGCCTTGTTCTTTTCACTCATTTGCAACATGAGAGTAGATCACCCTGACCCTGCTCTCCTCCAGGTTGGCATAAACTTTCTGAACAGAACTGCTTCCCAGGAATGTTCACCTGCCATCACCTAACAAGGTTCGAGTGAAATAGTTTTGATATGCATTTGACAAAAACATCTGTCTTAGAATCAATCGACGGTCCGAGGCTGGAGTGCTCCATCGCTGCTGAGCCAGTGGGGCGGCCAGGTGGAACTCTCTTTGGAAAGACAGTTGGTTTGAGCAAGTACCGCCCCAAGGATGTTCCCACAAAAGAATGTGAGGAGGTTACATGGGTGGGCCTCAAGAATATATACATATTACATTATATCTTTAGGGCCAAGTCCACTGACTCTCTGAAGTGTTCTAGTTTTTTGGCATACCAAAATACTATCTATCCGCCAGGTGTGGTAGCGCCCCAAACCTCACTGTGAGGGTGTGTAGTGGTGTGCAGGTGTTTTTGCCTGTTCTTGAGTCACCGTCTCATGAGGAAGACAAATTGACAAGGTTCTACAAGTTGTCCAGTTGTAGCTTAACACATGTGCATAACACATATGGACACAGTTATACACATACATATAATACATATCTGTAGGTCCGTAGGTTATTACAATTGCGCTTCCCTTTTTGGGTGTCGACACGCTTGTCCAGAGCAACCATGGCCATCGCCGATAGGACGAGAGGCACGAAGGATGGGTTTGAGAAGACCAATTCTGACGGGGCCCATCTCTGAAATGTGGGGTCTGACCCCTCACCCCTAATTTTAACACCGATACATGAATCCTTATGGTCCCAACTGTCTGGCTGCCCCCACGGTATCCTCAAATAGTCGGTTCTTTTCTTGGGGTATCAAGAAACTACTAGTAACAAAGGGCATCGCTACTAGGAGCAAGGACGCTACTAGCAGATCCTGGCCTTACTACTAGGAACAAGAAGCTACTAGTAACAAGGTGTTCTGCCAAATCCTGCCGGCCATGGCCGGAAATCTGTGTTCGGACCGGTTGCGCAGGGTCTGCGCTCAGGTCCGCCGTGTTCGGCCCGGTACTCGCAGAGCTGGTGGGGCTCCCAAGGCAACGTGCAGGGAAGAGGCTTTAGGTTGGAGACCATCGCTAATAGCGTCCGATCGCTCCGTTCGGTTCGCGAGGCCAGGAGCCCCCCGCTCCTGTAGGCGTCCGATCGCTCCGTTCGTAGGTGGGAGACCATCGCAGTCCGCACTCTGACTCAGGAGGCCCCCAATCGCCTGGCGATCGCTTTTAGGACAGAGGGATGGGAGTTCCGCTCCTTGTTCATGCATGTTTTGCCCCGGATATGAAGAGTTGTTTCAATCCAAAGTGGAGCATGTCCGCAAGTGCGCGCATCCAAAGTGAAGGGTCTTATTAGTCAAAGCACTTGTGCATTGGCAGCACTTCCTTTCGGCCTAGCAGGGGACCCGAAAACAAGCGGTCTCAAGCGCGGTCTGTGGGTCGGGTCGGGTCGTTTTTTAACACCGAAAATGCCATGGGAATTCAGTGGTTTCCGTTTCTACACCATCCTTCGTCTTTCCCTCCTGATGTTTCATCCGTTTCGGATTTTATGGTGGAGCACTTGGTGTGATTCGACGACGTGGGCTGAAACGACCTGGGGCAATGGGTGCCCTCATCTCATCAGGTCATCATCAGGTCATCATCGGATGTGGTCTCCAATCCATCCAATCTCAAACCTTGTTGACCTTGTTGACCTTGAAGGGGCGGAGGGGGGGGTTGATGAATCCTACGTCGACATTAGTCCGGCTAGTGCAGATTCGGCTGGCTCCGCCTAATAGAATTTGCAAAGGTCCCAAAAGTTTGTCTTGGCAAGGTGATTGGATACTATAGCCAAAAAGAAAATACATAGTAAAGAATTGTAAATAGCTAATTACATTTTTTTCTGGGGAGCCGGGCTTGATTAATAGGGGGATGGAAAAATCATTAGGGTGATGTACATGTGGAATTCAGGCTTTAAATTAGTTTAGTATTGGGGGCTCGAGCTGGGCTTGATTAATAGGGGGAGGTTACTTAATCCTAGGTTCGCATGACTTGGAATATGCACCATTTTGAGACCAAACCCCTTGCTTCATGTTTATGTTGGAAGGCTTCGGAACAAGAGACTGCTCAGGGTTAGGATGTGGGGGTCTCAAAAGGAGGGAAGTCTTGAATCAGATTGAATCATTTTTTTTGACCACTTGAAGTTGGGCCGGGCTAGTTCCTAGTCACGAAAGGCAACCTGGTAAGGGCTACCTTGAGTTTGCTTTGCGAAGCAAAGGGGTAGCTTGAACAGCCTGCTCGGGACCAAACATTGACCACCCCCTTCCATAGTGATCAGCAATTTATTGATCAATCATTTTGGTGATCCCCCTCCCTCGCCAGCACCACTAGCATCGCCCACCTAGCATGACGACATGACGTCTATGCATTGGCAGCAACAGCAGTGCCCCTACAATGAGGTTGCGCAACGCGGCTTCTACGCAATGCATGCACATCTGGGGTCTTTACAAAGCGCGTGCAGCTCTGGGACCACAGATCTTACACATGCCAGTGTTTACGCGCACACCACATAGCTCTACACAATCGAGCGTTGACGCAACACAGCCTCTACGCAAAGCCGTGTTGACAAATCTCACCGCATCATGCACATGCTGTAGCAACCTCTCCTCGCGACCCGGGCCACTTTTATGCGGAGCGCGCGTGCGACGTACGACCGCATTTGCCCAGCACAGTTTTGGTACCACGCAGTTCTTACACACCATAGCTCTTACATACACCAGTGTTGACAAACCTCCACGTGCACCGCACCGCACCACATGTTGTAGCAACCCCTCCTCGCGACCCCTGCCAGTCTATGCGGAGCGTGCGTGCGACATACAGCCGCATTTGCGCGGCACAGTTTTGGCACCAGGCAGTTCTTACAAACCACAGCTGTTACACAGCTCTGTTGCGTTGAGATAGCCCCGCTTTCATATATATATATATATTCCTGGTGAGTCCTACCTTTCGTGTTTCCGTGTCTCAAATTTGGACAGTTTGGATTGATCGCCGCAGCACTGATTTGGGTGGTGAACATGGCATCGACCCGTCGACCCCGACCCCTCTATCCCTTCCCTACTCGGAGCAGCCTGGGCGGTGCGCAGGACCGCGGATCGAGGCGGTGATGGCGTTCTGGTGGGCGCCAGGCACGGCAGTCACTCTGGCACTCCAGCCTGTCCAGTCAACACGAAACTGGAAGCTGTCCAGTCTGTCCGGTCATGGTAGGTGCTTTTGCCAGGACCAAGGTGGGTGACACCCAAATAATCACTATTTTTGGATCCTCTTGAACTTGTACGTTTTTCAGGGTCCAACTCATATCCAACATTGCCTGCACTTTTTTGATGTTCATACACTTCTTTCATTGATCCGCCGCATGGTACTTGTTTATTGCAAAGTTTGTTGTAATCACTCTATTTTTTGACCCCCTTGAAATAGTGGATTTTTCAGTTGGTCCAACTTAAATCCAACATTGCCTGCAAGCAGTGAACTGCCATATGCTCTTTTATTCATCTAGTCTACGGCGTGGTTCTTCTCATCTCTAAAACTGAGTGGTTACAATAAAGTTTACAATTTGCATGATCGATAGAAGACCAAGAGGTGAAGGGTGGTAAACTTGCAGGTGTTGTTGGATAGAAGTTGGACAGTTGGACCCTCTGAGAAACACATCATTTCATTCTCCTTGGACTTAGTCTGGGATTGCCAGGTTTATGTTCACGATAGGACACAACAAGATCCCACTGGGACATTTTGGCTCAAAAGAGAGAAGTGCGAGAGACACCGCATTTGTCAAAGCTCGGCATGTCGTCTCCATTTGTCGGACTGCATCGCTTCTGCGACACTGAGAGTTTCTTTCTGGTTGACCCTACGAATAGCAAGGGGGTGTCGGGTCTTGAGGTGGAGGTAGGCAGAGCAGGCAACAATGCACCACAAAAAGGCCCGCCAGCTAGTTACAAGAGCCGCGCCCTGGGAAAAGTCTCCAGATGATGTATTGTAGAGAATAGGTCCCCGACTTTGAGAACGCCACATACGTCTCCAAAGAGTGTTTTGGGTCACTTCTCACAGCGCAAGCGTTTCAAGTGTCGACAAAATTCGAATCACTTGGCTATGGTGGGGCTTACAGTAAATACTTGCATGAAGCTGCTGGGACTCTCTCACACATCTGGTGGAAGTCCTGAACTCAACAAGTAGCACTGCTCCGTGAGACACGCTGTGAACGACCTGGCCGCGCATCATGCAGGACAAAATGATCCTGGCTGTAATCACCTGGTGGTTCTATGTGTGCCGCCACCAGAACACGCACCATGAATACAACACGTTCATGCTTCTGCCACCAGGTATCAACATTGTGGTTTCAAAGTTTGCGCCTTGAAAAAAGACAGCCAATTCTGGATCGCTGTGTTCGGCCCTGTTGGTTAGGAGTTCCCAGGTCAGCGAGACATTCATTGCTTGCATGTCACCGATGCAGTTGGTGAAGGTGACTTCAGACACGTTTGCAGAGCACGTTGGGAGTGTATTGCGGCGCATAATTAGAGAAACCAGTTGACCTTTGCCCACTCGAAACTTGATTGCGAGCCACTGGATCCGGTGGGTGACCTGATTCCGACCCCTTTTGGGGAGCCCTGCCCGAGGGAGCATGGACATTGAGCCATTTTGCTTTCGGGTCGAAGAATAGTGCAGACATTGGATATAAGTTGGGCCCCTGAAACATGTACAACTTCAAGGGGCCGAAATGTAGAGTGATTACATTAAACGTTGTGCCATTTGCACGATGGCCTAAAGATGACAAGCGCCATGCACAAGTGAAAGAAGTATATGGAAAACAACCAATTGCAGGCAGCGTGTTGGATATAAGCCGGACCCCTGAAACATGTACAGTTTTAAGTGGTTCGAGAAATAGGACATTCAATTGATGATGTGTACGCCAATCCTGGGAAATCTGTGCTCTTTTCGACCCCACTCGTCCGATGTGACACACCTTTTGTTTGCCCGCCCGGGCGATCGCTGCGGACCCGGAGAACTCGCTTCAGCGTTCGCTTCGACGCCACCGTCGCTTCGGGTGCTTGGGGAACAGGCGTGATGCTGACAACCGGATCACGTTGGGCGCTCCACGTGTGTTTGCCCACTACCAGGCGCGCACGGCCCCTGGGTGCTGGATTTTGGTGTCATGATTTCACGCAAGAAACTAAACCTCAAACTGTAAACTCAAAAAAGCACAGGTTCGTGCGCAGCAACTATTGGATTTGAAGACCTGCAGAGGGGGCAATGTATTTATAATGTTTTATCAAGTCAACCTTTCCAAAAGTTTCCATGTTTTACCCCAGATGTTTATTGCCTGAAAACTTCTGAGTTACCCAGCGGCCAACAAAGACATCCTCAGGCTCAAACCATGGCGCTGCTAGCTTTGCCTTGGACCTGGCATTCCGTTTGCGACCTTTTCTTAACTTTCCCGAGCGAATGAATTTGACACTATTTGTCCAGTTTGATCATTTGATCCTTAGTCTGTCTACCTGTCATGACTCTGCATAAAACATTGGCAACCTGAGGGAATGCTGCCCCAGTGACCTCAAACTAGGCGCATGTTTGCAGTTTCTTTGACAGTGTGTTATTTCGTTGTGGTTGTTTTCAGCGGCCCGCTCCAATGCCGTCATCGTCTAAGGCCGCAATCGAGGGTGGTGGTCCTTTTCAGTGAGCATCAACCAAGCAAGGCGCAAAAACGGTTCCGGAAGGCACGTAGTTGGCCCGACCTCCTGTAGCGCCCGGAATCACTGGTGAATGCTAGGTATTGTGATCCTAGCACTCAGATTGGCCCAGATTCATCCGTTTTGTGTCTTGAGGTAAACTTAGGATCAACATGAATCAACCATAGCGGGTTCCACTTCTATGAATGGACTTTCCAAGCTGAGGATCTTATTGTATGTGGATTGGACTTCGATGCGGGTGGAAGCAAGAACCACACCCCAAGGCCTTCAAGTCCTGCTATTTCATGGTATTTCTGGATTTCACTCAGAACGTTTGTTGCAGATTTCTTCCCATAAACAGTGCTAGTCTCGGCCCGAAGCATGGAGCACCTGGGGGCCCACCTGAGCCGCCCCTTTCCACATGCCAAGAACCTGGACACATCGGACACCGTTCGTTGGTCAGACAGGCAGTTCTTTTGAGTAGTGGGTGTGTGTGTTTCTGTTTTGTTTTGGATTATATAGTTTGTCTCCGCAGGCAGCTTCTGGAAAAATGGTGTGGAGCCCCTGAGAATTCATAGCATGAGCTTCCTTGGAGCGGAGATTGTAAAGACCCTGCCTAGGCCAGCACCCTCAATCAGCTCTCTCCATATCTTGGGCCTATCAAACCTCTGTGACCTACGAAATTAACATGAAAGACGAAATCATCCAGTTTGTAGAGGAAAATAGAGGAAAATGGTCTTCCAAGGGGCAATTTTCCACTTCCATGTTAGTTCCAGGAGTGTAATTCCTTGCATCCTCGAATCTGAAACTCCTACAAGATGAATTTGTTGCGCATAGAACAACACAGCAGCAATTTGTTCTCGTTAAACTGCGATAACCTTCATTTGAGGCAGACCGAAAGAGGACTCGCCTGATAGCCAACCTCAACGGTGGTGCTTTTGTTTGTGCGCCTAACTCCACACATGTGGTGTTCTCACAGCGCTCTAAGTGCTGTGAGTCACCACTTTTTATAATGTCTCCAAAAATAGCAGTCAATGCATGTTGAGGCACTTGGCTTCTACTGGTCTCCTATCCCATCGGGAAAGGTACAGTGGGATAGAGAGAAGATATGTCCTGGATGAAGCTGGCTGAAGCCTTGGATTTTGTTTTACTTGGATCTGGCAATAGAGCGGACCCAGTTGTCCCATGCTGTCCCATTTTCTCAAGAAGATTGTCGATCCATCGATCCGCCATAAGGAGCATTTTGGCACGTCCCTTCTGGCAGAGATCATGGATGAGCATCTTGCCAGGCAACCAGACCTTCCAACCGGTTGGGTTTGCCAGCGCCGAGTTAGATGGCGCTGGCCCCGAAGAATCACTGGCCCCTTGTGCTGCGGTTCAGCCTCATGACTCTGCCAAGGTTCTTTTGGGGTGTCTTTTTGTTCCGCGACGCACATCGGATCATTTCTTTCAATGCACTCCGTTTTCTGGACGAGTGATCATCTCGCCCACTGCCCATCGTTGGATAGCGTTGCAATGTTCATATAATAATGTTCGATCCTGATTAGTAAAGGGGGGTCCCCCCCCCTCAAACAGATAGAGGTCCCTCTATAATAAATTACCACCAAAACAAATCTGGATTCCTGTGAGGATTCCTTTTGTAATTGATTGTAGTATTCAGCTTCCTTTCTCAGGTGCTTTGTAATTGTTCTCAACAATCCTTTTGCTTTGCAGCCTCAGATCTTCAGCTCAAGAGAAGCCCCAAGCTTTGAGCTTCTTCCTCAGCTTCCATGGCTTCCTAAGTAAAGGAAGATTCCATGAGCAATTTTTTCCAGTGGAAAAGACTTTTCACAATTGAGGACCCAAAAACAAATTTGTTATTGAGGATCAGGTGCCTTCCTGGTCTACTACCTTGAAAAATTGTTTAGGAGCAATGTTTTATAAAGGGTTTAATTGGGGAATTGGTGGTTTTGGTCAGCTGTCAGTTTTGAAGAAGCCTAGAGAAAGCTATATCAGCTAATGAATCATAATCATTGGCCTCAATATAAAAGGTTTCAATATAAAAAAAAAATTAGGGCCACCAAAAAAGTTAGCATTATTCAGGAACCATTTTTCAAACATGGGGTCATGAATAATTTTGGAAAATTTAGCATTATTGCGGAACCATTTACTAATCAGCATCCAACATTATCATATAATCCTCTGAAAGCTAGCTAACGTTTTTTTGAATGTTTCCGGCACGATAAACTCCCATGTTTCGGTTCTGCATAGTGCGGAAAAGACGAGCGAGGGGCTTAGCGGCTAAGCTAGGTGAGCAAGGTTGTTTTTTTTTTTTCTCTCTCTCTTTTTTGCAGGGATGTTTCACCCAGTTTTGCTTTGGGTGATTTCTATTTTCCCTGTGGGTCAATCCCTTCTGGGGAAAGTTACTTGGAAGTTACTCACCCTTCTTTTCAACGGTTCGAAGGCCACGGTCACATGTTACTAATCGCTTCGGTCCGGCGGTCCAAGGAGATCAGGGCAGATGGTCGCTTGGAGCGACAGGAGGATGTGGCTGTTCGCCGGTTTCTCACAGGGCATCCGATCTGCCGTACGCCGTACCGTGAAACACCAACCAGGACCTCGCGTTACGGCGAGGGTTTTCAGATTGCGAATCGCCAGGTTTTGGATGGTTTTCGCAGAGGTTGGGGATGGTTGGCATACAGCACTCCTGTGTGTATTATATAGGCTTTCTTCTTCTACAAACCAAGTGTGGGCGGGTTTTTTTGCTAGTTGGACATAAGAAGACGCAAGGGACATCCCACTATGCAATCATGGCCATCAATGGCCCAAAACTATGACCTATCATATCCTGTCGACAAGCACCCCCCACAAGCGACGAGCAACACCTGTGGTGAGCCTGTGGTGCAGCTTCTTCGGAGTGCACTCCTCCATCCCCACAGCAGGCGTCCGAAAGAATGTTCCGCTGAGAACGTCGCCCACGCGGTTCCAGTCGCTCCAACCTACGAACCGCGATGGCCTCCAAGCTGCGCCCAGGCGCCGCGCGTCTTGGGGAAGTATCACTTCGCCCAGACTCGGGTCTCGCGGCTTAGCGCCGCCCCACTCTCGTCGGGGAGTCTCGGGTGCTGACGAGGAGCGTGCGGCTGCGCGAGGGGCCAAGCGAAGAGGTGAGATGAGGTGAGCAGTTTTGGAAGAGATGGGACCACAGCTTGAAAGAACACATGCTGCGCAGATTTTGCGGTGTCCAAACCTTGGAAGAGTTTCTCAAAAACACAGAGGAATCCATAGGAATCCCCTAACTTGACTCGACGGAAGGTGCTACTGGGAAGTTATTCTAGGTCATAGTGTGTGGAGAGAAAGAAACTGCAGTCAATGAACTGTTTCTGGACATTGGCTGTAGTGCAAAGAGAAACAAGGTGAACATATATCAGATTCTTGTAACCTTTTCAAGGTCACCCAACCCTTCCTGAACGGAGCGAAGGGTGGAGCAGGTCACATTTTACAACCAGCCAAATATGATCAAACATTATCAAGTATTTATTTTTGAGTCTACTGCATGTTTCTACTTTACTCATGCCATAGCAAGAAGCTGCCATGAAATCACGTCATGCAGATGTCCAATTCGCAGCCCTCGTTTTCCGCTTGCATCGTTTGAGGTCGAAGACCTTTGCCATTGCCTACCGAGAACTCCCTGACAAGGCGGACAGCCCGTGGAGGGCTTAGTGGGAGTATCACGGAGTGGTCGACACATTGACGGGCATCTCACACGCATGGTGGTCCGAAGTCCGGAGCAAGGACACAAGCTTGGCACCAGTTCTTTTTTTGAGTCTTGTTGGACAGGCACCTTTGTACCTTCAAATTGAACACATTGAACTACACCTCCAATCTGTTTCCGATGTTTCCTTTGGTTTATTCACGGAAGGTCGGGGAAAGGAGGATCCCTGTTGTGGTGTCACTGAGGTCCAGAGAAGCCAGTGTTGCCCTAGCTGCTTGGCCTGGATGACAGTAAGCTGGCAGGTAAAACAGGATGATGGTTGGGGATCCTTTTTGACAGGACAGTGAGTTTTTCATCAGGTGTCACTCCAAGACTGGAGCCTCCAACATGACTCTCAGCTGCTTCACAACACTTCCATCATCTCCCATCCACTCCATGGTGATTCGTGTGCGATTCGTTTGAGATTTGGATAGATGCTGGGAGCACGTCAGCGAACCCATTGGCCATTGGTTATTGATACAGCTGAGGCTTGTGACAAGAAATCCCCATGTGGTCGATAGAGTCTAGAACAGTTCTTGATCCCAAGTGTTTGAATAAGAAATCTGAGGGCAGGTAGACTCTAACGTTGGGTTTCTTAATCTAGGGTTTGTTCAGTAGAAGGCAATCCTCTGAATGAAGGGTCTTATCTCTATTTCAAACCTGTTTTCAAACAATTTCAAACCCTTTATGGAGCCCGTTTTCCATAGCAGAAACAAACAACCATTAGAACGCTGCATGTCGCAGCAGACGTGGGGGGGGTCTGGGCGGAAGTTGCAGTTGCTTGCATTTTGTTGGAGATTCTGCCCTGCAAGAACCGGAGATGTGCTTACAGCAGACTACCCAGAGGTTGCTTCTTTTCATTTCAAGCATATACGAGAACATTGATACCAAGGAACTTTTGGTGAAAAGTGGGTCAGCGCTAGCCGGCTTGGAGACTTTTCTACTTTTGCTTCCCTGACAGCTTGAGACACGCTGATCATACAGATTTGTGAAAGGCCTTTCTCAAACCACAGGCACCAGGCACCTTGTAAAACGGTTTCGAAGGGAAGGACATTCTTCACGGAACTCTGCCGCAAGTTCTCAAGCCCACCCCTCTCCCTTTTTGGGGGGACCCTTCCCTCTTTGACCCATGCGCCGTTGCTTTCAACTGCTGTCACCACCACGGTCATGACATTCCTCACGGTTCGGAACGAGGCGGAGCTTTGGGGATCGGAGTTGGTCTTCACCACGAAGCCCATGTCCCTGGAGCACCTTGGTCAGGCTGTGATGAGTCCTCCACCGAGGCGGTGGTCAGTGGGGATGGACCAAGACCGGAGATCCGAGTGTTTTTCTTTTTTCATGATGGAGATTGGGAATTCTTCGGATGTGAAGCTCTGATTGGAACAGCGAGTCAGACACAACGTTCTTCTTCCCCGAAGTTTTGACTTTTCACACTCCCACATGTGAGGGTTGCTCATGCTTCCTGCACTGTTGGTGTGGCACAATGGGGTGAGCAGAGGGTACCGATTCCAGGCACACGATGGGGTTGATTGGCGTTGCGGATCCCGAGGCCGCGAGAGCAGATCTGGGCACGTTCCGTGGCTGGCCTTGGCGATGGCGTCCGGACCTGAGCCATCGAGACTGAACCCTTCCCGTTCGAGTGACGCCTGGTGATCTCACATGGATCCACGTTTTTCGTCCCGGATGGAGCACCATGACCATGCGAGAAATCTGTGGAATCCCTTGGTAGAAGAATCTGCAAGCAACCGAAGCAGTCACCCAATGCTCAGTCGACCGTGTCCTTTGCGATGATGGTTTCACGTCTCGGAACATGTGGGCTCCTACAAGTCGCAGCCTGACCGACAACATTTCTCCACCATTTGGAACCATGGGCAATCCGACGGTTCTAGCATTATCACTATATATAGTGACGTGTTTGTGCAAGATTTAAGGGCTAAGAGAAGTGGACCCCCTTTGAACATGACTTTGTTGAAATCGTTCCTTTTTGGGCGTTGTAGCAGACGGATGCCTGACCGATCCTCACAGTTTTTCGATGCACCACTTCCGGCTGCGAATCGCGGGTACGGGGAAGTCATTTCACAGAACCTCCCTCCCACCCAGGAGCCCAGAAAAACCGGGTAACTCTATAACTGCCCTTCGCCTACACATCAAGATAAGTAGCATTAACATTTAAATGCATTAAGTTAATTAGCTATGAAAAGGTGGCCATGTCTCCCCAAAGATATCATGCGCACTAGAGTTCGAGGACCCAACCTCAACTGGAAGGAATTGTATTTTTCTGATTATTGTTTATGTATTTACTATTATTTTTGTTTTAAAGTGTATTTTGCTGTTTGATGAAGAGTTGGCCACCATCTACTGTATACAATTTAAAGATAGTTTAAGAATTGTGAGGCGTTGCTATTGAATTTTCGTTCCTTAAGCCCCGCTCGCGGTCCAATGTTCGCTGCTCGAGCCTGGTTCAGGCCTTTGCCTATACCTACCACAGCGGAAAGGAAGAGGTGACTAAGCAGGTGCTTATGACTTGACCTCGGGAAGCCACACGAACTTCACCGCAGGTGGTGTTAGAGCCATGAGGTGTTTCTCTTCTACACTTGATCTTTCGAGTTCCAGCGGTCGCTGAGCGGTCGCTGTGGGACGCTGTCGGAACCGTTGGTCGTTCGATCAAATCATCCGGAGAGGGACGTGCGTAGAAGCCAAGACAAGGTGGTGGACATGCGAACTTTGAAGTGTCAAAGCTGAAACTTCTTTCAACCCTTACTAGCGGCCTGGCAGCGGCTAGCAGTGGCTAGCACAGCAAGAAGCACCGACCAGAAAGAGTCGCATCACCGTGCGAAGCATACGTAGCAGCAGCTTAGCAGACAGCCACCCCGGTCACAGGGAGATGAAACAGAAAGGGACCATGGGACCCATCCAACTGCAGGACCTGGATGCTGGATTCCTCCATATCAAGATCAAGTCACCAGGTGAGACCAGGTGTTTGCAGAAATGACTTCCTACAGTCCGAAGCACAATGTTTCAACCCCTACGGCTGCACGGTTCCACGGTGCTTCAGGTGGTGCTTCGCTTGAATGCGGCCCACCGGCTCCGATCTGAGATGGGAGGCGGTGACGTTGTAACACGGTGAACACTTGGGTGTGGGAAGCAGCTGCTTGGGTCGGATCTGATAGGTTTCGTTGGAGTCATTTAGAGGTATTCTTGCTGCCGTATGCTAGGCCCGCTAGGCTCACCGGTGGTGTCGATTGTGTCTCTTCCTTCCTTGGAATGGCCGCTTTTTGCCGCCGTGTCATGGCCTCTACGGGCAGCCTCTTCGTGCTCCGAGGTTAGAAGTGCTTCAAGAGCCGCGGGTGATTGCCTCGGGTTTCAGCCCATTTGTCAGCCGTGCTCCCAGCGGCCATTCGAAGTGCAAAAAGCGAAGCGGACTGAGTGAGTGAGTCCCCTGTGAGGAGTTCAGTTCTTTCCAATTGTCCCGGAAATTGGGAAAGCACGGAACATCGTTTTCTCTTCAAGGACTTGGATAGGGTCTTGGTGAGAAAAATACATTGAGCAAAAAGCACTCTTGCATGCCTTCACACACAAGCAACGGAGGAGCCTCCGCACGGAGGGCAAATCTTGGGCAGGGATACTGCAGGATAAATATGACTTGCTCGAATCACGCTAAAGACATGCAATGAATTACAATAATGATACTATAGTATATACCGTAATTATGTACACATATGATAACATATAATATAAATATAATGTATATACACCTTAGATCTTCCATTTGACCATTCTGCTTTGGTCGAAGGCACCGTGAGCACGGTGCAGCGGGATGAGGCCAGAGGGGCGTGGAGCCCACCTTTGGAGGGTGAAAGAGGGTGCCCCAAATCAAGGTGGAGCTGGGATGTCTAATTTGTAGTACACTTGATCAGACTTCACTTCACTCCCCCATCTGAAGATTCGGAAGGCCGGGTCTGTTTGTTACAGAAGATGTGTTGGATTCTTTACGCGAGCGCGTCCCATCTGAAGTGGCTCCGCGTCTCGTCCCGTCGCAGCCGCAGGCGCAGCCAGCTCAAGGTCTGCGCGGCGACGGCTCTGATGCAGTGGTTCTTCTAAAAGGTGGACCCTCACTTTCTGAAAGACGTTGAAACAGGTGCCACATGAATTTGGTTGTTGAGGAGTCAACCCTTATGGTGTTATATAAGTTATATACACAACTTGTCCTCCAACACTTGCACATCGGCTCCGGCTGTGTAGCTAGCCGCCAAGTGGTTCCCAGAAGCGTCAAGCCTTCGCCATTGAAGCTGTCGGGGAGGACATCGGCTCTTCACCTTCCTTGGTGGGGATCAAGGCTGCTGTGGGCCGCGTTCTGCCGCCTTGCTACGGCAGATGCAGACCCCCCTTTAATCAATGGAATGAAGAACTGCTACGTTCCTCCGAACTAGAATCAGGGGTGTTTGACAAGTGGGTGTATGAACAAGGTGTATGAACAATCCCGAACACTATAAATACGCCTCAATGCAGGGGAATATTATGTGTATATATAGACCGGGGATTTATGTTGTTTTCAATTTTTCACTGTCAAGAGTCAAGATGTTCGATTTGTGAGACAACGACCAGGCCCAGGCCGTTCTGACTGTTCCTTTTGCCTCTACAAGTAGATTCAAGTAGATCGCTTTCCGGGAGGACGTGTCCCATCCTGGGTTTCATCCATGTTTCTCATCCCGGTTGTTGCTGAGCAGACCGTTGGACTCCCAATTCTCTGCGGAACCTGACCGTGGCGAGTTGGCTGCCTTTGTGTCAAGTTGGTCGCCTTAGTGCAAAAAGATATGTGCAGTATGACACCAGAACTGGTTTGAGGGAAATGTATATACAGGAACAAAAAAGGACACGCACTGGTTTTTGGTGGTGAGAACCATGCTTTCCCGGTGTCCTCCAGGTTTTCCCTTGAAACTTAAACCTGAATCTGGAGCCAAGATCTGGGTGGTCAACTCAAGAGGGGACCATGCTGAAAACAGATGACCATCCCTTTCGAGCTGCTCGGTGCTTTCGACCGATTCGCCGTGGTGTCGCTTCCCGCCGGCGAGGCGCCAAAGGCCGAGGGCGCCTGTGCGGAGCGCGCGCCCGAGCCGAAGGGCCTGTGGTGAGCCGAAGAAATCGGACTCTTGGTGTGTGATCACGAGAAACAGTAGTGATCTGAAGGGACAGTAGAAGAACAGTCTAACATAGCAGCAACACTTTTTCGAGTATCCTTGTTGGATGTGCATCTAGCAGGGGAGGAGAGAAATCAGTATCGATACTCTGGACTCTGGGCCTTCGCATGCGAGAGATAAGAAGCTACTAGGTGGAGGCCATCGCAAGTAGGTTGGAGGCCATCGCTATAGTAGCAAGAAGCTAGTAGGTTGGAGTCGCGACTAGTGGCAAGAAGCGGTTAGGTGGATGGCATGGAAAGACCAAATCCGAAGACATCCGAAGACCTGGTTTTCCATCCGAAGACACTCGGGATGGAGTTGTAACTTCGCTTCTGATGTGCTCAGGTGAATGAACAGGGTCTGCCAGATCATTGCCAAGATGTCGGAAGTTCGGAGAAAGAGGTGTCGCCCGGGGTCGCCCGTGAATGCAGAAAATCAACTAACCAACCACTCGATCCGAGTCATCTGACGAGTGAGTTCACGGGCGAAGAGCATGTTTCATCCTCCGAACATTGGGGCGAAGACTCATCTATCCACTCGATTCGGAGGATTCGGACCTTGGACGGTGCGAACACGTGTCAGTGTTCTTGGTTTTTTGTTGATTTTCTGATGCTTCCGATACAGGGTTCGTTTTTCAAGATCCACTACTGTACCCAATGGGTTTCAATACCTTTTAACTTTAACGAACTCTTTCTCTCTCTCTCTCTCTCAGCAGCCTAAAGATCCTAAAGGACCCGAAGCACTGGCCTCGGCGTTGGCCCTCCAACCGCGGTTGAAATCCAGGCGGCTTACGGGTCGCCACGCGCGGCCCACGTGGGAAGCCGCGGCAGGTGCTGGCGGTGGCCGCCACTCTCTTGAGTGACCAGCGAGTGTTTCTCCTAACCAGCTCTGCTGGGAGTCCCAGTCACGGAGAGAGAGCAGATCACAGGTGACGTGGTGGCGGAGGCTGACGTGGCTCGTGGCAGCTCGGGAACGGATGCGGGACGCATGATGCGGGAGGAGAGATGAAATCTTCTGTCGCACACAAAATGAAACACAAGCACAGCATTGAAGGAGTTAAACCTCAGTGATCTGGAGAAGTCCGTTTCTGGGAATTCCTCATATTTGGATTATTATAATACATATATATATATATGTTCCTTCTGCGTGGCAGTTCTGATGCAGCCAAGGCCTCTGGGGTTCCCTACTACACCTTGGTTGGCTTGGCGCCATGAGTTAGATCCACAGCAGGAGATGGCAAAGGGCACTACTAGGTTTGATTTAGACATTAGACAAATATTGGCAAACCTACAAGTTGGCATCCACAACTGAGGAAGATCCGTTCAAACAGAGTGTGACACGACATTCCGACATCCTTCAATTCATTAGTAATCATTCATGCATTTATTTGGATGAACCGACCCTAACTTTGCAGTGGGGCGACGAACTCTTGTTGTAAGGGTATCATCAGGGATCAGAGCAGCGATGTTTCACAGCAGGGGCACAGCACTGCGGCGCTTGATGGCCATCCAGCCTGCTGCACAAAGAAAACCGATCCACGCGAGGGGCTGGAGGCGTTTGGATGTCTTCTTATGGCCTTTCACCTTGGACTTTCTTTTTTTGGAGTCCCATAATCAACCGCAGAGCGAACCGCGCTCAAAGCCCCAAACTGGAAGAACACCGTTTTTGTCAGTTTTGATGGATCGAGTATGATGCCCATTTGACCTTCCATGTTTGGGCTCCAAAACAGGAACCATTCAGGTTTTATAGATATACGGTATATTTATTACAGAAAACCGTGAACTGCGTGACCTTCGAAGGGGCCTTGACACGGACGCTTTCAGCTAGTTTCCTACGAACGTGGGCAGTCCAGTGGCGAGTGCTCCTACGAACTGGCCACGCCACCGAGAGCTGCGCTCGCCGCGCCAACTTCGTTCGCCGCTTGTAGAGCAGAATCGACGGACACTGAATTACCCAGAGTTCACCTAGTCCTGGCCATGATGGATGGCCCCTCACCAAGGCCCTGCGGCCCCACCAAACTCCAGTAAACCCTGAAATAAGCAAATACAGAGGCTTCTAGCTCTTGACAGAGATGAGCAGATGTCTAGCATTCCGAAAGCCAACAACCTGCATGTTCCTGATAGCAACAGAATAGAAAAATTACAAAGTGAACATCCGATCTCACTCAGTCAATTGAAGCAGTCCTCTTGTTGCAGTTTGCTTCAACCACTGTGAACCCGAAAGATCAGCCAGGTGAAATATTTTCATGAACTTGGCAGCCGGAGAAGACTCGTGCTATGGTGGTGCACCGGAAGGGGTGCACTTGTGAAGCCCTCGTTCAGGTACTGCATGCTGCACCTCTCGTTCTCGGCTCTGCTTTTGTACAGTGCATTCCAGCTACCCGTGAATGAAGCACCCACCTTGATAGATCCAGGCTTCGATCTGGAGCACGAGCTGGACCTGGATGCCTTCGAGACTTCCTTAGAGGTGGGCATAGCTGCCCCATTTTTCCTCCTGTTGAGTGTCTGGCTGTTGGCATACAGGAAGCTGCAGAAAGACACTGGTAGTTTTATCACTTGCCCAGCCAGCTCGGCCAGCCACAGCAGCTCCAGCCCCCTCACCAGCGAAAGCGCCAGTGCCCCGGGCGCAGAAAGCACGGATCACGCGGCACACCACGCGGAGAGCAGCACCATGGCCGCACCACCGAAAGCCGCCCAACCACATTCCCCACCGGCAAAAGCTGCGCCCAAGTGCCCACCACGCGCGAAGGCCAAAGGGAAAGCGCTTGCCAAGGGGCCAAAGGGGCCTGGTCCTCCGCCCAAAAAGGCCGCACCTGCAAAGGCTGCTGCGAAGGCTGAGAGTACGCCAGTGGGGGATCAGACGAAAGCAACTTGGCACAGAAGTGAAAGACATTCTCTGTCGATCCGAAAGAAAAAGGTCCGGGAAAGTCTGCAGGCATCGGCTGAGTCATGCTGAGTCTATTATTGCCCTTTGATTCCATATGCAATTTTATGCCGATCCGTTTGGGGTGTACGGACTGTTTGAAGTGTCTTGGACCATAGATTGCCGCACCGCATTCAACTCTTCGACACTTTTTGTGGAAGCCTCCAGTTTGGCCGTTTCAATCCTTGTCAGCTGGCCCAACGAATCGGTTGATTCTGTTACTCCGAGTTGGTTTGGGGACTCCGAGCTACATGTTCAGCCGCAGCATGTGGGCGCCACTTCTTCCAAAAGGGTTGCCTCACTTTGGACCATGCGCGTGAGGTCCCCGACACTTTGGAACTACAACGTCAAAGCAGTTTGACCGTTGGAACGCATTTCTTCGATCCGGGCTGAATCGCCTTGAATTGGGTGAAACTGTCACCAACACTGCAGAACACGTCTCAATACCATTCATGTTTCAAATCCCTCTTTGTCCACTGGGGCGCAGAAAAAAGTCAACCCTGTTTCCCTTGAAGACATGTCACTCCCGAAGCTCCCCGGATGAATCACCCAAAACCCTGTCTCCGCGTCGGTGTTCGCGGTTCCCACCGCCCGAGGTGAACCCCTTTGGCGCGCGCCGCGTGCGCTGGCGCACCTTGAACTCGGCGGAGGGCACCGTCTTCCACGGCCTGGGCGCAGGGCATCTCCGGAGCGACACCGCGAAGATGCTGAACGAGGTGAGAGTAGTGGAGATGGGCAACAGAGAGTTGTGGAGAAGTGAAAGTATAGTGAGAAGTGATTATTTTGATTTATTTTGGGGAACATTGACCTGAGAGCAATGATGGACTGGACAGTTAGTAAGTCAGCTGGTGTTGAACTTGTTGTAAGGTCTGCGAGAAGAGAGAAACTCCTCAATCTCAGTGCGTGTTTCCGAACTCCTCACAAATTAGCCCTTAGAGCCTTAGACTTCTGATGAGCATAGCAAGTACAACAAATCTGCTTGGTGGACTTGGCCATGCGTCAAAATACATAGCCACAAGACGTAGATGGCAACTGTTCCTTTCATTGCACCCTTTTGGGTTAGAGATGAATTACTTAGACCATATAGACCCTATATAGCCATATGGCTCGCCGACCCCATCTCTTCCGGTCCCTTAAGCCGCCGTCGGCGTGGCCGTCCGTTCGCGTTCGCGACGAGGTCTTCACCGTGGTGCATGGATCGAGCGGACGCTCGTCCTTCGTGCCGAAGAGTGCCGGTGTTTGCCTATTGGATCGGAACCGTGCGCAACAATTGGCCACTTGGAGCAAGCGAAACGTTCGCGGAGCGAGCTTAAGCATCGGGGCCCGATGCTGTCGATGGGTTCGAAGAGGTCGGATGGGAAAGGGGTGGATCGTTGGGCTGTCACGTAGATTGGCATGATTGGCGTACTAGTAGATCTTAAGACAGAAGGCGAGTTGTGGCTTCTACCAAGCTCAAACGAGCCTTGCTTACCCGCTGGCTGCACAAAAGCACCTCTTCTGAGAGAGAGAGAGAGAAAGAAAGAAAGAAAGAAAGGAAGGAAGGAAGAAAGGAAGGAAGAAAGACAGAAAGAAACAAATAAATAACGAAAGAAAAAAGAACGAAAAAAAGAAATAATAACAATAACGAACTACATATATAAATATATAAATATATATTATATATATGCTATTATATGTAACATTATGTGATGCAATTGACATTGCCCGCCAGTCACGTGAAACAGTGCGTGACGGTGAGTTTGCGGTTCAAGAAACAAAGCGGAATCCAGGTGTCGACTGCCGCAATGCCGCTAGTCGAAAGACATGGAGGAGCAGCTGAAGCAATCAGCAAGAGCAAAGATGGCATCTCACAGTGGAGTGGAGACGCTTGAAGCTATCGGGAATATGAAGAGACAGCGCTGTTGTGGAGCCAGTCCATTCCCCATCACAAGCGCTATCTCAGTGGACCCAAGATCATGTGTCACAGGTGAACTGTCAAGGACTGCGTGCAAACTGATCGTTGGGAAGCGACCGGGCTGGCTATCCCATGCAGGTGCAGTGGCACAACTGACGCAGCACCTGAGGAAGAGTCTTGGAAGACCACATATTCCAGAGTTGACCGAACACCCTAACTGTTACTTCAGGGTAAGCGGACGGAAAAAGTTCGAGTCCACGAGCGACTACATCACTCGGAAGACCGATTTGTATGCCCGAGCCCAGCAGGCATTAGATGAGGGTGCAGCACAACAAGAAGGCAAACCATGTTATGACTGGCACAAACTTCCAACCAGCAAAGCCACACCAACGAAGAAGATGAGGGCGTGACAGAAGAGGGTGTCGCATTGATTGCCGCTGCCACTGAAGAAGAAGATGAAGCCATGGCGGCAATCCATCAGGCCAATCGGACCCTGAGAGAAGCGAGGACCAAACAGCGCCAAGTAAAGCTCAGCAGACATAGCTACAAGGTGACTGACAAGAATACTAATGGCCGCGCCGGAAGCCTTGCTGGGGTGAAGTGTTTTTGCTGTGGCGGACCCCGCAAAGTCGCCCAGCGTCCAGATCGTCTCGCACCGGCCAGAAAGAAACAGCGCACACAACGATGGAGGCAGCGCCCTTCGTCGTGTGCTTCCTACAAATGGTTGCGGAGACTGGCGATGACGGGCGCCAGGCCTGCGACGCAGGGGAAGAGGCATATGAAAAGGGTTAATACACAGAGGAGGCACACATGAACACAACCACCAATGTGAGGCAATCAAGGCTGTGGGAGTTGCACCTTGGCCTCTGTCCATGCTGTAGAAGCCATTGTGAACGCAACGCAATTCTCTTAGGGAAGATCGCAAGCGGCTCAGCTTGACCGATGACCTGTACAAAGATGCCGTGCCTTGTAGAACACCAGCGCCTGGCCCCCGTGATCCTGACTCGTCGCCTGACAAGGAATCACTCAATCAGGCATTTGGGATTCGAGGACTCTTGTAGGGGTGTCAGATCTGACGGGGAAACCCGATCTAGTCTTGGTAACCAACAAACAGCATACGCACAGCAGCCTCATAGCAGCCAGACAGACCAAAGAGCGCCGCATGGATCTTCAGCGCCCGCCCTCTCGTGATTATTATGGAGTATATACTTTCTTGGTCAATGGCCGGTGACCGGCGGCTGGCGGTGAACGGTGGCGGTGGCCGGTGACTAAATTAAATCCTGGGGGCGCATGACGCTTTTTGAAATGTCGACATGGAAAAAAATGTTGTTTTCAGAGCATATAGGAACAGGCCGCCCGGGAGATAAATCCGGATTTGGCCTCTAAGTTGAAAAGGGACGGTTGGGGGCTAGGATTTGATTATATTGGATAAAAGTTGTTTCTTGGGTGGATAAAAGTTGTTTCTTGGGGGGGGTGTCAGGGGACAGGAAAAAATGTCACTGTTAAAACGTCGAAACCATTTTCCTGGAGGTAGGGGGTCAGGAAAAATCCTGAGTGAATACATGACCCAAAACAATTTGTTTTTTTGAAGTGATCATCATCACCTTTTTTCTTCCCTCTAATATTTGTTTAACGTGGGAGATGTTTGAGAAGATTGCAGAGAGGGAAAGAAGACGAGGGAAACACGAATCAGCGCACTACGACCATGTGCTCTCACCAGTTGTTTGCCTCCCAAGATTTTCGCAAACATATCAACATGACAACAAACACATCAAAATGCACAGCATTTATGCCCGCCACCCTGGAACAAACATATTTCAGTATATTTCAATGAAAATGGTCTACCCCAAAGGACAAAATTTCTGTCACATCACCTTTTCACCAATTGCGATGTGAGTTGGGTCTTTGGGCCTATATCTGGGCGTGGGGCGGTTGCGTGTGGAATGGCGTGGATGATGGTCCAGAGGCACCATCCTTGCAGATGGTGAATGTCATTGATTTTCAAATTTTGTGGTGTGAGAGTCCAGTCTTTGGGGATGAGTCTGGGTGTGGGTTGGAATGGTGTGGCATTTTTGTCCTCAGCTGTCAGCTTTGAATATGGGTAATGATGGTAATGCAACTTAATATGGTCAACCCTCAACAAAGATGACCTATGGACAAAAATCCACACCGCTAGAGGTAGGCTTGTGATGAATGCCTGCAGTGCCCCCGCAAAAAGGGTCACTGTTTTTGTTTAAAATAAGGAGACCAATTTTTAGTAGGTTTTCGTGCCACAGTTGCTTCACGCAGCTTTCCGCATCAGTTCACCCTCTCTTCTTGTCACTTGTTTTTGAGGTGGGGCGGGCTAGGGGACAGGAAAAAATGTCACTGTTAAACAGTTGTTTCTCCATGTTCCTCGAGGTTGGGTGTTAGGATTTACTAATTAACAGGTCATTGCACTCTCTCCTGATGCTGAGGGGTTAGCCACATTGGATAAACATTCACATTAAAAATTTATTTCCAGTGTGAGGGCTCCCCCTTGCAGTCCACAGTCCACAGGCCATTATTATCTTTCTCCCCTACAACGGTTCCGCCCTTCAGCGCCAAAAACAATGCCCTCAGGCCATTGTCTTCCGCCGCTCACCGGTGCCCTTGCAGAAGCTGTGCTCCGCACTGCTCACCTTGGATTTCTCGCTGCCACTGGGCGACGAGGAGTTGGAAGGACTCATCCAGGCGCGGCGCGAGGGCGAGGGGCACACGGACCGTTTCTTTGGGGGTGACCGGGAAAGAGCTGATAGCGCATGGCTGTGGGTCAAAACTTGAGGCCCTAAACCCTGGTAGGTTGACCTCCCTAGCAACTTGTCCTCATCCCATATATGGTGGTGTCGTGTTGGGAGGTCATGGAAAGTGCCACAGTCCTCTGCCACCAGTATTTTTGAGAAGCAACAGTTGGAGGTTTACCCCAAGCACAGTTCAGCTAGCCGACACATACAACTGAACATCAGAATGCGTGACGAAACAGGGCCCATTTTAAACTCGTTATCCCCCGGAATCCCAGGGCCATCTAGGGTCTGTTTTGCTGAAGCCTTTCCGTCACATCGTCACACCGTCGGACCAGTCTCGTCTCGTGTTTTACACCAGGCTTGGCCTACAAAGGCAGACTTCGAAGAGGTGGCAAAGTATACCGGGCCCACGGAGCATCTGCGGGATGTGGAACAGTGCATTAAGCAGATCCTCGGTCGACGTGGTAAATGCGATGGTCAATGTAGCGCGTAGATGCGGGGTAGATGTGCTCGAGTATGAATGGCTGGATGGGCATCGAGATAATGGATGATAGTGGATGCCTTTCTGTGGACCCTTTGGACATTTTCCATGCTTTTCATGGTTTGGACGGCGCGTCGTTCCGTTCCCACCGCCCGTGCCATCGGTGGAGAACGTCTCTTCCCGTCACCGAAGAGTTCGACTCCCTTCATGCACATGTCGTGTCCTACTAACATCCAAGATGTTTTGTCAGCCTTTTTTCATGAAACATCCATGGTCCATGGGTGTTCCATGACCCATGGAACCGAAAAATGGTGGCTCGGCCGGTCAATGACCCTTTCAGCATATATGCGTGATCTCATTCCTTTCTGAGACGGTCGTTTGCTGTCCCTTGAATCGGCGCCCGAGGATGGCACAGGTGCCCCGCAGTGAGGCGCGCTTGCGCTTGCTGCGGCTCTCCCGCCGCTGGGATCCGCGTGGGACGAGTGGGACGACTGGCTGAGGGCCCGGTGGCCTGAAGTATGTAAAGAGCCTGAAGAGGTTCACCCTCTACAGACCCAGGAGGCTGTCAAACTTGACATTTCTCAGGAAAAACATCAATCATCAATTGGGAGATCCCCTTTTCGGACCACCAAAAAGGGTCCTTTATTCCGATACAGACACATTTGCAGACGAAGCCCTCACCATGCTGGGCTCAAGGAATCGGACCCGAGCTTCACTGCCGTCTTGGGGGCAAACCTACCAACTTCCCGATCTTGAGACAAAATCCAGGATCTTTTCCCGGAGTTGGTGAGATTTTCTATCTTCGACAGGTGGACAAGACTGGATGTACCGTGGGCACCCCTGAAAAGTGGGTTTCTGGAGCCAAAGGTGGTTTTTGGTTATTTTTGGTACCAGGAAAGACGCAATCATGGAATCCACCAAAACAGAACTTCAAAAGGTTGCTTATCAACTGCCCAAAGACTTCCTGTTTGTCCCAGTTTCTGACATGGATTTGGTTCAGGTCTTGCATGTTTAACTTTCATAGAGGCCGGGGCCCGGGGACTTTGTTGCTTGTTGCTTTCTTTGGGAGTGTATATAAAGAGACACACACACAGACACTTAGATCCATGCTCGCAAGAGCTAAATCAGTTGTGACATTCCGTGAGGCTAGCGCTTTACGTTAATGAAAGTTAGACCTTGACTCTCAGGAACAGTAAGGCGATCCGTCGGCCGAACAAAATGATTGAACAAAGGTGCGCTAGCGCTTTACAGGAAGAGGGGCGCTTGTCAACGCCACAAAAAGCAGGTACGTCAGTTCCACGTCCGGATCTGATATCCTCACCATGTATTGCCAGCTTCGTTGATGAAGAAGCAATACAGGTGTCTCCATCCCCTGCCGAACTGTGCAATGAGCGTTAAAGTACGGAAGCTAGAGATCTAGTTATTGTCTAGCGGTGTCAGAGGTCCTTAGGAACAGGAACGGGCACTTGATTAAAAAGCCCGATTGCTGGCCGAAAATGCCTTTTGAAAAGAGGGAAACCTAGAAAGAGAAACGAAAGCAGGAGAGGACGAATGCGGGGAGGGGTGGCCGGGTGGTGTGGATCGATTAAACGAGCCTAAGCAAGCAACCTGCAAGCCTGAGAAAAGACCTAACAAACGAAAGTAAGCAAGGAGAGAAAGGGTGTGTGTGTGTGTGCGTGTTTGGGTTGGGGTGAAAGGCACGCAGCCGAAAAGCCGAATCCGGCGCACCCTGACTGAAAACTTAACCTGCAACCTAACACCTCTAGCAACGAACAAAAGACCTAGAAACAGAAAACCTAGGAGGGAGAGAAAGCAAGACCGTGCGTGAATTACCCAGTTTGCCTCAAAATTGGAACACATGCGACTACGCTAGCAGCATGTCATGACATTCTAGAATGGACGCAGGAGGCCCACATAAGATCTGCAATCTCGAGCAAGCGGCTGATCAGCGAACAATCATGCAAGACGAGGAAACCAGTAAAGTGCCACCCTTGAGGGCCTGTGCTAAACGCGCCCAAAGTTGGGACCACACAGCGGCCATCGCCCAAGTTTGGAGGCCATCGCTAGTAGGTTACGCGCACAAACACAAGGCTACACCAAGCAACAAGGTTGGAGGTCACCGCTAATGGGTTGGAGGCCATAGCACAAGGTTGGGGGGCCAGCGCTACTAGTTTCCAAGACACGAACTGAAAGCAGCATCAAACAACCAGGTTGGAGGTCATCCCTAGTACGTTGGAGGTCATCGCACCAGGTTGGAGGCCAGCGCTAGTTTACAATACACAAACTCAAAACACAAACTCAAAACGCATCAAGCAACAAGGTTGGAGGCCATCATTAGTACGTTAGAGGCCATGGCACCAGGTTGGAGGCCAGCGTTGCCAGTTTACAAGTAGGTAGAAATAGGGTAAAAAAAGGAAGGGAACTGAACCGACAGACGAGTCTGCCGACGAACCCTTGCAGGTACATGGGACTGGCCAAGTCGCACATCCCGCGATATCACCCAGCTTCGTTGGTCAAGGTTGGTGATATCGCACCTTGACCCGCTGTTGAAGTAAAGATTGCAAAAACAAATTCGAAGGAATCCCTGTGACTCCAAGGGATACACACACGTGGCCTCTCCCATCCGTGTCGCCAGGCATCGTGTCCAAATCCGCTCCGGAGCCGTTCCTAGGCTCCTTAGATGGCCTGGACCGCCTACTTGAGCAGTTCGTGCTTTTGCGCTCTGCCTGTGAGGCGCGACTCGCTCTGCGGGGCACTCGGTCGCAACGAGCTGAACCGGGCGCCGGGTCGGGAGAGGGAAGAGGCGTCGACTCGGGCAACATGTGGACTCCGAGGACTCCGGTCCTGGACTGAAGATAAGGAAGGTTGTGAACTGTGAATAGATGTTCCTGAACTGTAGACTGAGTTCACATTTTTCCAGCGCACATCACTGATTGTGAACTATGAATTACCTGAGTTTGGGCCCATTGGCTGGACTTACTTGGCACGAGCAGTGCAGCACGCAGAGCCCCCGAAACCCATCAGTGTTTTCGTCTGGTTGCGGGTAGTTTGCTACCTACCCACTGGCCCAGTATCCGTCCAAGAAAACAACTTTGACGGTGTTCTCTTGTCCAGCCCCCTGGCTACAGGCATTCCAAAGTGGAAAATCGTTTTAGGGGGGAGATCCTGTGTGAGAGAACAACCCCACGCATTTGGCAGGTGATCAAACATCTTGCACCACTCTTGACAAAACCCCAAGAATACATCAAAATTCACAATTCCCTTGAAACACCAAAGGAAGAACGGAATCATCATGTTGCCCAGCTGTTTCCCTGAAAATGTTCCACCCCTCCTTCGCGAGCCTTGACGCTGCGTGCCAGGAACTCCTGAACTCTGAGACCTTGAAGCGGCTTTTGGATGAGGCACTCATCATGGGCAACTACATCAATGGTGATGCAGGTTCGAGTGTTCGCACACGCACGTAGACACACACGCGGTCGTGTTGCGATCGGCGCCAGGGTTCCTGTTTCGATCACGGCGTGAGAGACTGGAGCTCATGCGCTGTGGGAGGGGGCATTTCCTGTTCTTTTCACTGGAGGCTCTACCTGGACCGTCTACCTGGGCCCACAGATCTCAAAAAAAAGGGCTGCGCAATGATTTGACATTGCAGACAACGAACTCTTTTCCTGACACTGACCCATTCATGTTGAGGCGATGGCAGCAGACAATTAATGACATGGATTGACAATGACAATGAGACAGTCACATTGATTGACATTAAAGATCAACCACGCGTTTACCCACATTATACCTTCCGGACTTAGGTTAAATAGACTAAGTTTCCAGTGAAGTCCCTACTTCCCAGTTTCAGCAGTTCTTATTTCCAGATTTTTTCGGAGTTGGGTTGAAGCTTCCTGTGAACCCCCTTCCCAGTTCCAGCAAATATTTCCAGCAATTTGGGTTTTATTCCAAGACCACTGGGAATTGGGACCCCACTGGTTTTCCAAAGCACCGACCTTTTATATTATATATACAGTATATATATGTTTGTTTTCTTCAGTTTCAGTGAAGTTTCCGAATTACTTCTGATATATTATTCATGCCTTTAAGCTAAATTTGTTTAAAGCTTCCTGTGCAATCACGCCAGCAATTCATTTCTGGACTTTTCCGGACTGAGTTGAGAAGCTGGGGGGGCTTCCCAAGATCAACTCCAAGTGGAATTGGAAAGCCGGGAGGGTTGCTAAGTTAAGATCAAGCGCAGGCTCATTGAAAAGCTTGGAGGGTTTACCCAAGATCAACCACAGATGAGTCGAAAAAAACCCGGGAATATGTATTAAGCAAGGAATGTTCCCAGAGGTTCAGAAATCGCTTGGCCACCGCTTGGTATTCTGGTGTTTAAAGTGGGTATGTTACCTCGTCGCGCTAGCAAAACGCAGGGTTGCGCTAGGTTCGCGCTAGGTTTGGCGCTAGGACCAAGTACTTAGGTAACTTAGAAAAGATTAACAAACAAGAGCTGATTGTAACGGTCACTCATTGGTGCACATACACACACACACCCGCACAGGCACAAGAGCAGCAACTGTTTGAAAGGCAGCGCGCGCTGAAAAAGGCAGCAACTGTTTGAAAGGGAGTAACTGTTTGAGAGACGAGAAAGCGAGTTCTTGATCACAGACGTTTGGTGGCCTCATGCACTGGCAGGGAAGCGCGCTAGATCCGCGCTAGACCCGCGCTAGATCCGCGCTAGACCCCTTCGCAACTTTGACCACTTGTCCAAATGCTTTCCAGGGTGTTTAGTCTTGGCAATTTGTTTCTGTGTGCAAGAGGATGGCTACTTTCAGCTTCACATTTGGAACCATTGGACTCTGTAAGTAAGAGCGCAGCTGTTAAAAGGGCAGACACAACATACAACCATATACATGAGCGCATGTTGGGTACATGATGGCCACCGCTTGGAATTGCTGTGATTTCAACCTAGGATAATGATTTAGAACGGGTTTTCTTTTTCAACTCAGATTGAGTTGAAAAGCTGGAGGGCCCAGGCTCAGGTTGAATTGAGAAGCTGGGGGGGCTGTGTCAAGATCAACCACAGGTCTACTTTAACAGCCGCCCAGTATTGGCTGTTATAGGGGCCTTCGAATAGATGGCAAATTACAAACACAACATTTGCACCGTCTAAGCCAGCCAAACCGGAAAAGAGTGGCATACAGAAGTAGCAAACAGATGGCACACCTGGGGTATACCTGCTTGAAATAATATAGTGGTTCTCGTGGATTTTGACCTTGGAACCTCCCTACCCCCTCAAAAGAAAAACACCATCACACAATTGTCCGGCTAAAAACTATCGTGCTAAAAGTTTTTGTTCTGCTAAATAGGTGACACGGTGAAACATAAGAGCCTCTTAATTTCAACAACGAATCGGGACATCTATTGACGGGGTCAAACCCTGGACTGCTTGTTGCTAAAGACATACTTTTATAATGTGCAGTATGTGCTGCAACTGAATTCCCGAAACCCACATGAAGCCCGAACAGCAACTCCTAGGACGTTTTACGCATTTTTTTGCTTAAGCCTCCCCTGTGCCATTCTCGGCACGGCCAGCCGGCAGGTTGCGGATTCTCGCTGGATGCTTTCAGTCAGCTGAAGAGCTTGAAAGGTGCAGCGAACACCACAGCCTTGCATTGCCTTTGTGCAAGCTGTGCCCAGGAGAGGCGTCTCCATCCGAGCATCTGTGTGTGGGAGTTGGTGTGCACGGAGAGTGGCATGGATGATGCTCCGATTTTTCTCAAAACGGGCCCAGAACATCAGGTTTGCTGTACATCAGATGGCAGCCAGATATGAAGGGGAACATGTTCGAGAAGGTGTACCCAACGATGACCCGAACGATGTACCTGTCGGATTGTTGTTGCCCAACATGGACACCAAAACCACTTGGTTTTTGGTTGGTTGTTATGGATTGACTCATCCATCTTCAGGGTTGCCCTTGGACAGATATGCATTCCACCAGCAAGAAAAAGGGCTGCGTGTTGGACGACACGTCACGTCAGGTAGGGAGGTCTGAGAGTTGGGCAGTACTGCCAACTCACAACTTTGGGCTTTTGTCTTTGTCCTCTAAAAGACAGGGGGTCCTAATGCACATGACATGGTATTGCGTCCCAGATGGTCTCGATGGTCCTATTGGTCTAGGAGTAACAGAAGGTGCACAACATACACAATCCGAGACCAAACAAATAAAGTTTTGAACAATCTTAAAGAAGGTCGGAATTCCTTCGCAGATCTCTATGGCCATCTCTATTAGGTTGGGAGGTTCGAGGACTTCGGCTGTTAGCGTCCAAAAACACCCGCCAGGACGACCCCGACTTCTGTTCCAAGCTGGTCACGGAGCTGGGCACTTTGCCGGGGGCCTCGGTTTGGCCCGCTTGGCCGGCTCCATTGGGGCTCTAAGCAAAGCACCTGCTCCATGGGCCCGGTCATTGAAGCGTAGCAAAACGAGGCATGTGCAAGCAGAACCCTGGTTTTGAAGAGTGATGGAATGCCTTTCTTAAGAAGTGCATCTTGGAGCCTGGCGTGTCACACACAGTAGTGCCACCTTGAGCGAAGTAGCTAAGTGCTGTCATCAAAGGTGGTTCTAATACATATATATATTTTTACACATCGTATGTATAATCTAGTAAATATCCAGTATATACATATATATGTATTATAATATATATATATATAATATTTATGAGGGATGGTCAGCAAAAAGCGTTCATTTTTTGAAGGTATATAGATTGACAATGCTTTGGACACATCACCAACCATGTGGCTTTTCAATGACCAACACTGTGGACACTTTTTCAGAGACTTTTCTCCTCCGAGCGTTGCGCTACCGTGAGAAAAGGCGCAGCGCTTCGCAGATCTCGCTGAGAGCTCAGCAAAGTCCCGAAAGTACAGAGCTTTGCAGATGGTGCGTATTTCGTTCGGGTGATGTGGCGGTGATGCAAACCGACCTGGGACCTCAGTTGGATTCTGCAGCTGGAGCCTCGTTTCACTTCTTACTTATTTTTTTGTGGAATAGAGCCAGAAAGACAACTAATCTCTTCTGGAAAAGAACACCCTCGCTTTGGACTGGAAAGCAATTGCTGGTGGTTCCACTGGGAAGATGGATGAAGATGGCAAGATGGACCTCAAACAGATATGTTTCTTCCTGTTCAACCAGTGGGTTTGCGATGCGTTTGGTGATCTCTGACTGGTCATTTTCGCTGGTGGAGGAGAAAAGATTTTTTGAAATATCGTGGACCCTTTTCAAGCTGGGTGTGTATTTAGATAGAGAGACGCCCAATGGCCCAATGGGTTCGTTTGTGTCTGGTTGACTCTATTTTCCTTTGTTCCCAATCCCGGTCTTTGACAGCAACCTCACCAATTGTTCAAATCCACACCCCACATGATTCCAAATGAATCTTCATCATCTTTGTTTCTTCACTCCTGACTCCACTGTTTCGCCACGTCCATTTGGGATCAGACCGACCTTCGCCGCCCTGCGTTCCGCAGGTTGGGATCCCTCAACGAGGTGCTCCAGCGGCTGCGCGGCGAGGTGCAGAGCGTCCGGGACCCGAAGGGGCGGGTGCCGGGCCGAACAGGCGAAGTGTTGTGGTCTTTTCTTTTTAAGCAAACCATATGTAAAACGAGTTTTTGGACTATGTGAACTGCAGAGAAGAAGTGGAATTGGAGATTGATCGACTCATGTGAAGATGAGTTGTTGTTTTACTTTTTCGTTTGTGTGTGTGCTGGCAAGAGTTGCATGTGCTCAGGGCTTTTTCCTACTCAAAGCCGGTATCCGTTTCACCCGACCGTAATTTCTGATAGAGACTTTTTTCTGTTGGAGAACTTTCATTCTGTGCGATCTTTGCGCCAGTGAGAATACCCTGAGACCATTAACTAATCAGGCCTTCCAATGCGATGGCATCGCTTTTGGACGATTGTGGTGCTGCAGACCCTTTCTGGTGCTGCAGACGATCGTGAGGCTTCCAAAGGTTGCGTTGATCGTTTGGACTCGAATGACAATTTGGATGAGGAGCTCTTGCACTTCAGAATGCTTCAAGTCAGTGCGGAAGTGCTTCCCAAAGACCATGTGAACCTCGAGAGATCTGACGCCCCCGTGCCACGTCGGGGCTACGTGGTGCCCCACCACTCTTCGAGGCCACGTTTGAGCTTAGCTCATTGGCTCACCGGGGCGGCTGAGGAGAAGCTTCTTCCCTTTGCAACAGCTGTGTTGCTACCACATGCAGTAGCCTTCCTGGTGGCTCAAGTCCTGATGCGGCGGCACGGTGGTACAGCCGTAGAAGTCTTGCAAGAAAAAAAGGAAGCGCCGAAGAGCCTGTCGTACATCATTAAGCAGGCTGGACCCATGTGGATCATTCATTTGGTGGCCATTTTCACCTTTGCAGCAGCTGCTCCTAGCGTTGAGTACTTGTACTTGAACTACTTTGCACGGCAATCCCAGCCTGGGATCGACTGCTCAGTACAGATGGCCGCAGCTCCATGTACACAATCTGTTACGAAGGTCTTGAAACTTCAAATTATTCGTGGCTTTGTGCTTCCGGTGGTGCAGTTTATCTTGGGCCCAGCATTAGGCGCGATGAGCGATGCTTTTGGTCGAAGGCCTGCCGTGCTGGTGATTCGCACATGCCTTTTGATTTCAGCCACTGGAACAATGCTTGTCGCTTGGTTTCCTTTACCGATTTGGGTTGACTATGCCCTTGGTGTCTTCTCGACAGTTCCTTGGGGTGCAGTGCCCTTCGCATGGTATATAGATCGATTTGATCATGCACCCACCATTGTCTATGCGGTGAGCCTGATTGAGGGGTCTTGCATCATCAGTGAAGCCCTAGGGACAGCATTCGGAAGCTTCTTGAGCTTGAACATGGCCATCTCTGTGCTCTTCGTCGGCCGAGCCGTGACCTTTTGCCTGGCACTGTGGGTGCTACCAGAATCGTTGCCCGAGGAGAAACGCATGGTGTTCTCATGGTCGTCTTTAATGCCGACAGCTGCCTTGCAAGCTCTTCTGCAAAGCCCCTTGGTGGAGAAGCTCACGGCCATTCTTGTCATCAACTCATTTCACTGGGCAGGCTACTATACCATCTTTGGAAGATTCTTGCAGAGCCATATGGCGTGGGCGAGGCAAAACAGCTATTACAGTGGACTTGCAGAACAAGTCTCTCAGGTTCTTTGGCTTTCATTTGGAGTGAATCTTCTTGTGCGAGCCTTTGGCCAGTCTGGGCTTATCGCTGTCAGCACTTGTGCTTGTGTAGCGTCCAACGTCTTGCAAATGCTTTCAAACAAGCCCTGGCAGATCTATGCGAATAACCTGTTATTTTCAGGACCTTCCTTCATGGCCCCCGCTGTGGTTTCTGGGATCATTGGTGCACAGGCTCCAGGCGAACAAGGTACCTTGCAATCAGCTGTTGCATTGGTTTCGCAGGTGGCGGCGGCTCTAGGACCTGTGGCCTTTGCCACGGTGTATCAATTGCTCGATCCAGCAGCGCCTGGAGCTCCAAGTTGGACCATGGACCTCTACATCATCTACGGTGCTCTGTTTGCGGTACCTGCTCTCACTTTGACCTTTTCCTTGCGCCGCTTCATGGAAGGGACCCAAGGGAAGGGCGACCAACGGCCGGAGTCGTAGAGTCGACGCAGTGAAGAAGGATTTTCAGAATCTCAGAATCCATATTTTCGGAGGTGCCAGAAGCACCGTCCGAGCTGTGCCAACATGCAAACAAAAAGTGAAGGACAAACAGCCGCCGTTCCAGTCTTTGGAGCACAAAAAGCGAACTCCAATCCACTTGATGGCACTTCTTGCATTGTGCCGCCATGTTTGATGAGGCCTCTGAAGAGTTCGCCTACCACTCCACAGAGTACCAGAGCACACCGGCATTGGCGCTCGAGGACTTCTCCAAGCTTGGAACGGGTCTCGCACCGAGTGACTTCATGTGACTTCCCTTTTGAAGAGCGGGATGATCAATTTGTAAGATTTGTAAGCAGTCACTTGATTTGGAGTATTTGGGGGAAAGGACCTACGATGACCTAGGTAGAGAGTTGCCTGATCTCCTCTGGACCTCACGTCACGTTTGGACCTCACGGTACTGGGGTGAGGCACACTTGGCAACAGTCCCAACCAGCCAGCCACCCACGTGCCATTGGATCATCCGATCATTTTACCTTTTTGGGGCACGGGATAGGTTCTCCCCTAAAATTCATGGGTGAATACAGACCTTTGTTGGGCCTCTCCGTCGCAGGAAGTACCTTTGGCCCCCATCCAACCCCTTGGGAGCAAGTTAGGCGAGGCGCGTGTGATGGAAACTTGTTGGCTGAAATTGTGTGAATGCGACCAGGGAATGGGAAGGTTTGGGGGATGCGGTTGGGGTCTCACAAAGGGAAGTTAAAGTATTTGGATGTGGGTCAAAACCCAGAGCCCTGGAAGCCCCAAACCAGGGTCAGTTGACCTCTTTAGTAGTCCATTCCATTCTGTTCATTTTCGGTGGTCAACCAAGGTACCCCAATTTTGTCCCACAGACAATTTGGATGTATGAGCAGCATGATGGTTGTTTGGTGGAAGGAAGCTGCCGAGCTGAAAAAACGAGGAGACCAGAGACGCCTGGCTGGGTAGACTCGTCTATTCCCTGTTGAGGTCTCCCAAACCACGTGGAGCGGACCACGGGAACTCAAACTGACCGAGACGTGGAGCGATCGGACGCGACGAACTGGGCTCCTGGCCTTACTACGAACGGAGCGATCGGGGCGCTAACTCTTGCTTTACAAGATCGACGAGCTGGGCTGCTCTGGTCGAGCTGTGCTGCGCCAGGTTTGCCATGCACCATTCCACCACTTCATCTGCAAATGCTGCAAGCAGAGCCGTTCGGCACTCACAGAGATGGATTGTTGGATGAATTTGACGCATGAATCAATTGATTTTGGAAGTGCGTATCCAATGCACAGTATAATAACTTCCAGAGTTCCATGAGGTTGGCAGTGACCTATGAGCACAGTGGAGAGGCGTGCTCTTTTCGGGGATGGCTTGGAGATTTCCCATCTCGAAGAGCACCACTCAAGACGTGCAGGTTTGTAGGTCACAGACAAGCTTTTGGGATCTTAACTTTAGAATCTGAATATAATCTCTGGCATTGAGGGTGGCTATGTCTAGGAGTTGATCTGATAATCTTTGTTGGAACGAAGACACATCGTTACAAGGAGCTTTCTTCGGGTTCTTCAATTTATTCAAGACCCTTAGCAATGGGCATCAAAATACGTTCAAAAACAAATTGATATCACATGCATCAAAACCAATTGGTTAACGCATCACAAAAATGGCCGCATCAACAACTATTAAATGTTTGCTGTAATTATGGCTCCTCGGGCGTTTTATTACTTATCATAGTTTGTGTTTATGATCCGACATCCTACTCCTGCCCCCCCGGTCCCCTGGCCTCTTCTTTCCTGGTTGCGTGTTGTTTGCTTGTGTGTTTTGCTGTTGCTGTTGCTCATTGTTGCTTGTGTTTGTTTGCAACCAAACAGACATAACCACACAAAGATCGTTTATACAAGTGCAACCACAGGTGAGAGCACACTTTCCAGATCAAGGGCCACCAGATTAGCTAGCCCAAAGTACGACAAGACCTACATGCAAACTACCTCTATTAAGATGCTTATGGGAGAGGCGCTGTGCCCTCCCCCAACCCCCTCCAGCTTATTGCTGTGGAACTGTGGAACAGGCAAATACAAAACAAAGCAAGCGAGCAGCGAAAAGCAAGAAACAAAGCAAAACAAAAAACAAAAAAAATCGAAACAAACCACAACCAAACCAAACAAACAAACAACACTGCTTTTCGCTGCTACGACGACGACGACTACTACTACAACTACAACTACTGCTACCACCACTACTAGTACTAGTGCTAGTGCTAGTGCGATTGCCACTACCACTACCACTACTACTACTACTGCTACTACTACTACTAC